ATGGATGTTGTCTCAGTTTATCGTTTCACAAGGAAAAATGAAAATAATACTCTGGAATATACAGAAACTATCAAAATCGGTGTCATATACGATGGTGTACCTACCGAAATATTCATGTGTGGTACCAAAATAACCCCGGAACTGTATGTGCCACTAGTACGTCTCTGCTTGAACTGTGGACGTCTAGGACACATAGCTATTCGTTGCAGGTCAATGAAAAAATGTTTAAGTTGCGGTAAAACTATGATTTGTCCCAATAACTGTCCAAAGGAACAAAAATGTCAAGATTGTCGCTCAAGTACTACATGCAAAGATATATGCAGCTCCCCGCGTTGCATCCTATGCAGCAGTACTGATCATTTCGCTACAGATTCTAATAAATGCCCAAAATGGAAATCCGAAAAAAATATAAGGAGTATCATGGCCCTCTCCAATCTGTCAAGAAAGGAAGTTGTTCAGAAGTACCCTGAAACACAAAATCGCTTCCAAATTCTCTCAGAAGAAAAATACAATAATGCATTCCCCCCTCTAATAAAAAACAGTGCACCAAAAAGAAGTGTTTATGAAGAGATAAACAAAAGAGTTACAAAAACAAAATATAGCCAAGTTGCTTCACCCAGAATTCAAATACGTCATGCCATTGCCGATCCAATCCAAATATCGCCTTCCAGGCCCACCTTCAGCCAAGATAATTTCTCTAAAGTCACAGAATTAGAAAAAACTCTTAATCTTTTTGCAAAAGAAATGTCAAAGATACTCACATCTCTTAATAGCACAGAAGGCTTAAATGTTTTAAAAAGTTTCCAGCAATCACTGCTTCCATTTGCAGCAAACAGTTTATTTACAGGAACCAAAATCACAGTCCCCACAGACGACTCACATCCTGCAATTTTTTAATAAATAAATAAATTAATATGAATCTACTACAATACAACGTACAAAGCTTAACCAAAAACAAAAACTTCCTTGAATTCCACCTTAAAAAGCTAAATATAGACATATGCTTTTTAAGTGAAATTTTTAATATCGATGAAAGCAAAAATTTATCAACTTTTCAAGATTATAAAATAATATCAAAAAAAAGAAGTGATAACTACGGCGGAGTAGCTATACTCTTTAAAAACAATATCCAATACAAAAAGATTCCTTTTGAAACTCCTCTCGACATACTAATTTGTCAAACTACCAACCTAACAAACAATTTTACTTTAGTGTCTGTATACTTTCCACATTCTGTCAAATGTGCTACAATTAAAAATGAACTAGTGAAATTAATATCCTTGGTAGAAAATCGCCCAAATACTCTCATATGCGGAGACTTTAATGCCAGACATTCTGCTTATGGAGATATATATGTCTCACAACGTGGAAAGACTATAAAAGAAATCTTTGATGCTACGAATTTTCGATGCTTAAACGATGGAGGATATACTTTTAAAAGAAATATTACGGATTTGAATGGTTCTGTTTTGGATCTTTCATTTTCCAATTCCAACCTTCAAATACAATGGAAAATTTTCAATGCTATGATTGGAGGAAGTCACCACTTCCCAATAACACTAACTTTCAACAGTATCAAAAATAAAGGGCAAAAATTTTTAGCTAAAAAACAATTATTACGAAACCTGGGGAAATTGTCTCTGAATGACAACTTCGATGAAATTCAATCAAAAATAACAGCGGAAATTAAAAATTCTACCTACACTTTAAAGGAAAACCAAAAAACACCAAAAATTTGGTGGGACTCATATGTAGAGAAACAATACCGTCTTCAATTAGCAGCTCAAAAAACTTACGATCTGCATAACAATGACATCAATGCTAGAAACTTAATAAAAATGATCAAAAAATTTAAAAACGCCGTTCAATATGCCAAAAAACACTCCTTCAAGGAAAAAGTACAAAATTTAAACAAAGAACCTAGTTCTAAATCACTTTTTCAGTTTGTTCGTGGCTGCAAAAATTTTTTATCAACTCAAAGCAAAAGCAAATGGTCTTCTGACAACAACAAGCGGTTTTTATCTCACCTCAGAGAACAAGTCCCTGACAATCTTCCAATTAAGTTTGCTTTATCTTCTGAAACAAATCGTACAGATCTAATAATCGATGAATTTCTCCTAGTCCTTAAAAATAAAAAGAAGCCCTCCGCTGCTGGTTTGGATGGTATTTCTTATAATATGATAAATCATTTATCAGAATCTGCGAAAGCTTCCTTTTTCAATGCAATAAACCAGTTATGGAAAACATGTAAAATAAGAGAAGACTGGAGAAAAATCAAAATTGTACCAATACCAAAGAAAGGAAAAAATCTGGATGTTTTTACTAACTATAGACCAATAGCTCTCATCTCAGTTCCTCTAAAAATAATTAATCTGATAATTAAAGAACGTTTGCAAAAATTCATTCATGATAATAATATACTGCCCCACACAACTTACGCATATAGAAAACACATGTCCTCGTCTATGTGTATCAACAACATTCTGCACACAATTAATCATCACAAAAATATGGGTGAAAAAGTAATTATTCTTTCTTTGGATGTTGAAAAAGCCTATGATTGCGTCAAAATAGAAATACTCCACAAAATTCTGCAGGAGATCGAATGCTCACCCGATGTTACAGATTGGATAATCAACTTTCTAAGTCGTCGAATACTCGTAATGGGAGATGATTCACTCGAAATTTACAATGGACTACCCCAAGGCAGTTGTCTAAGTCCTCTTCTTTTCAACATATACACTTTGGGCTTACACGGAATTTCCAACATCAACACTTATCTTTTTCAATTTGCGGATGACTTTATTTTATTATCTGCTCACAAAGACTTTGATTCGGCAAATGTAAATCTACAACAAAAAGCCATCGAGTTTCACAACTTACTCTCACGACTTAATCTAAAATACAATGCTGAGAAAACAGCCGTCATGTACGTAGCCAAAGGCCCAAAAAAAGTTCCATACATCAGACTACAAGGCACACAAATCACTCCAGTTAATAGCATAAAATTTCTGGGAAGGCACATTAAAAACAGTTTATCCCTGAAAGAGCATTATGACGAAGTAATTTCCTCCTGTACAACGTCAATTAACGCTCTAAAAATGATCAACAACAACAAACACGGCCTGCTCCCCAATATTTCAATTAATCTAGCAAAATCACTAGTTTTTTCTAAAACTGAATATTGCATTTCATCAATGGCCCATATGCCTGCATATCTAAATAAGAAACTCACCACCTTTCAGAATCAATTATTAAGAAGGAATCTTGGCCTAACACCATCTACTCCTACACACACAATTTATGCCTTAGCACTTATGTTGCCACCCGAGCAACGAAGTCAATACTTAACTGCAAAAGAATTAATAAAATTTAAATGTCACAATCCACAACTGTACAACAGTATAACCAGAAACTCCACAAACAAAACGAGCTTGGGACTAATTTACACCAAATTTAAACATATTTTTGATGAAATTGTGGTCAACAAAGCCGAACATCCCAGGAAAAATATCACCTATTTTATGAATTTATTCAATTCTTCCAAAAACGCACAACCCAATGAATACTTTAGAGCAATCTTGCAAGAAAAACTTCAAAATCTAATAAGCACAGGTCATTCCATTTGGGCAACAGACGCTTCTGTTTCTATAAATGAGACCGGATGTGCAGTGTGCAATATCACCAAGGACCAAAATTTTCTGTTTAAAATATCAAGAAAAATGTCTTCCCTGATGGGTGAATTACATGCAATAAACAAAGCGATTGATATAATGATTGAAGACAACATCAATAAGGCAACCATACTAACTGACAGCAAGAATGCGTGTCAAATTCTCAAAAACAATACGGTACAAAACTACCTAGCCAATGATATCATCAAAAAGGTCAACAATAGTAAAATATCTCTACTCACTTTTATTTGGACTCCTTCGCACATTGGTATCCCTGCTAATGAAAGGGCAGACTTCTTTGCAAAATACGCAGCTCAAGTCGGGGCATCCATAACCACTAAGCTGGCAATAAAGGATGGCTATTCATTAGTTTATCAACACCTATGGAGAGAATGGAATGAAAATTACAAAAATATCATCACAAGAAAAGGCACATACTTCTCCCAATTTTTTCCTGAACCGCCAACTCGTCACTGGTTTTATGGCACTAACCTCACTCCTGGTAACATAAAACTCATTAATCGTCTTTTCACAGGACACACCTATGGCAAAACTTACCTGTTTTTAATAAAGGCTGTAAATTCCAACATATGCGAAATCTGCAATATACCAAACACCGACAATCACCAAATCTTTGTATGTCCTAAATACAACAGTGAGCGGTTAAATTACAATTTTTTCACGATTTTCTCGGACTTACCAGCGATTCTCAAAACCTTCTCCAGCGAACACTTTAATGAATTGTGCAAATTCATTAAGAAAAACAACATACAACTATAATACGCACACACCACTAGAAGAAAATACCAATAAAAGGAACTAACAATCGATAACCGATAACTTAGCAACTGGTACATGAATACTTCGGGTATCGGGTACCAACTACTTCTTGACGGAGAAATCAACTGTCGAGTCCAAAAAAAAAAAAAAAAAAAAAAATCATCTTCCTCATTAATAACAGATACAAATGCATCTCCAACATGTATTTTAAAGAAGTTTACATTTAATTTTACATATCAATTTAAATTTTATTTTAAATAATATATATTGCCCAGATTGTGAGAGAGTTGCTGCTTCCTCTTCTCTATTTATATATCTTTGCTATGCATAGTGAGATGATTGCCCTTTGTTATCGATACCTTAAGTAATTGATAGACTGACATCACTAACCGGTAGCATATTTTGCGCGTTTTACTCCCGTGTTATTATCGTGTTTTTGTTTTCATTTTGTTTAGTATTAAAATTTGCATAAATTCAATAAAAACTCGAGATTGAGCCATACATAGTTCGCAAAATCAATTGGTCAAAATGTCTACTGGTAGTCCATTTATTGGTAAACGTGGTTTGATTAATATCAAACCCCGGACACCACAACGTGAACGTGCTGACACCATGGGCGAAGGGGATTCGCATAATTTTTCCATTTCGCTATTGCCCGGAGAGTTACAGAGAATGCTGGACAATTCTCAAATGAATAACAGTGGTCTATTTAGTTCATCATTTCATGGAGGAGCGGGTGATACAACCAGCCTTTGTGATCGCTCAGTTATTGAGCAAATGGATGTGTTCAAGGAAAAGGCCGATACATTGTTTCCACAATTTTTGGAAGTATTGCAGGCACGAACTAATGATTCCGAAGTGTTTGATACCATCAAAGATCTGATACACACTTGTTCCGCCATACTGGAGGAATGTTTGAAAGATGTCCAAAGGAGTGGTGACAACCGTACAAAATCCAAAGTGGAATGGTTGGATTTGGAATGTAAAACATGGAAACTTCTATATGCCCTGTATCAAGATCGTATTCTATTGCAATCTACGGATCAAGGAATGGATGAAATGCCTACAATGGGTGGATCGGAGAAGGAAGTCATTTCACAATTATACAATTGTAATTCCACCCTGAGAGAATATCAGCTAATTATTGATTGGTTGGAGGCATGTTATGAAAAGAAAATGACTGGACCCCAGATAGGGCATACAACTGATCGTACTGTGGCCTGGGAAAACACACTGTTTCAGTTGAAAAAACAACAGCAGATTGCTTTTAGTTCGGGTGGGGAAATTGTCAAATCTCTAGATCCTGATGCACCCATAAGGGAAAAGAAACCTCTGCACACTTTGGATGAGGAGGATAATATGCGTCTGTCGCGTTGCATATTCGAAGAAATCCGCCAAGGGCGCATTGATGAGGCTATGGCATTGTGTAAGTACTGTGGACAAACATGGCGTGCAGCTATTTTGGAGGGTTGGCGTCTCCATGAAGATCCCAATTATGAACCCATGCATGGTAACTCCAAGGAAAAGGTACCCATTGAAGGTAATCCGCGAAGGGATATATGGAAGAAGTATGCCTGGATGATGGCTGACTCAAAGAAATTTGATGAATACACCCGGGCAATTGCTGGAACCTTCTGCGGCCACTTGGAATCTTTGAAATCATTGTTAATTAATTCCTGGGAAGATCTCCTATGGGCATATCTCAAAGTCCAGGTTGATATACGTGTGGAAAGTGAAATAAGAGCCAACTGTCCTAAACCCTATCACCCAATGCCCGAAGAATATTGGAATGCCAAAATGTCCATGGAACAAATATTCGATGAACTTTTGGTACACAATGATGCCGCTGTCCGGGATTATGCTCAAAGTAAAGTTGGCATTATTCAAAAATATTTGATACTTGATAATGTCACGGAGTTACTGCAACAAATACGTCGTTGGATTGAGGAGGATCAGCTATTGGATAGCAAAGATCCTTCGGTATCATCACATATGTTAAGATTTTTAACCCATATTGTGTTGTTTATGCGACAAATCGGAAGGGTGGATAAAGAGGAAACGGCAGATCGCATAATTGCCGCCTATGTTGAATGTTTAATACAGATGAAAGATGCCCAATTGGTTGCATTTTACACGGCCGCCCTACCGAGTAATATGCAGGTGTCATTGTATTCCAAATTTTTAGAAACCTTACATGACACCCCAGCTCGTCAAGCTGCCCTGGAAGAGGCTATGCAGGCCCATCTTGATGTTGAAAACATTACCCGCCACACAGTGGAAACTATACGTCAAAAGGAACCCCTCGAAACTGATCTACAACAAATGCAGGAGGAACCTTTGCAGCATGGTGACATTTCAGCATTTGATCAACATAAAATTAAGGCCTTGGAATGGTTAACCTTCTTACCCACACAGCGTGGTGAATTGCTGTGGCAGGGAAATGCTATGATTCGCTCCTTTTTGGCTGAAAATAAAATGGAATGTGTTCGGGCGGTATATGATATGATACCACAAGATTCGCTTAGTCATATTTTGAATATCTATGGAAGTAAAGATAATTTCCCCTGCCGTGAAGATTGTAGCATTAAAGAGTATCTCAGCTATAAAGTATATTTGGCCGCGATTGATTCTTTTAATGAATGGTCGCGTTTATATCACAATCGTCCCAAGGAACCCCAATTGGTTACAGCTGGAGCGAACTTCACAGAACGCATGGCTTCGGAACACAAGGAGCAGGTTTATCGCGGTGAATTGAATCGTTGGAAAGTGTCGCTGGAGGAACAGGCTAGAGGTAATTAAAATCAAAAAAAAATCCAATTAAATGAAAATATAAATTTGACTTTTTCTTTTTCCAGTCTGTCGTGATTCCCTTTTCAATGTCTTGCTGTTCCCCGAAAAAGGTTGGCTTATTGATCCCGACACACCCAAAGATCCCACAAATATTAGTCACATCACCTGGGAAAATCGTCAAATACAATTGGATAAAATTCGTAGTATTTGTATACCGGAAATAACGCTGTTACTGCATAAAGTTCTACATTTATCCGAGGATTATCAAGGATGTGTTAAATTGGCCGATGAAATTGCCTCCGAAAATCGTCAGCTATATAAAGTATATACCAAACATAAGTTGGCTGAATTATTATCCAAATTGGCAGAATCTTCATTGGAATTGTTAAATCGGAAATTGGATCCATGGGGTTATCCTGTAACAGTATAATTTATTTTGTCTTATTTCATTTTTTTCTTTTTTTGTATACATTTTAAGAATTTTTTCTAATAAAATATGTAATTGTTAAAGGGATTTGAATATTTTTAATGAGACCTTAAAATAAATATTTAAGAAAATCCACGCCTTGAAAAAAAATGTTTAAGAAAATCCACGCCTTGAAAAAAAATGTTTAAGAAAATCCACGCCTTGAAAAAAAATGTTTAAGAAAATCCACGCCTTGAAAAAAAATGTTTAAGAAAATCCACGCCTCGAAAAAAAATATTTAAGAAAATCTAGGCCTTGAAAAAAATATTTAAAAAATCCAGGCCTTGAAAAAAATATTTAAAAAATCCACGCCTTGAAAAAATATTTAAAAAAATCCACGCCTTGAAAAAAACATTTAAGAAATCCACGCCTTGAAAAAAATATTTAAGAAATACACGCCTTGAAAAAAACATTTAAGAAATCCACGCCTTGAAAAAAATATTTAAGAAATCCACGCCTTGAAAAAAATATTTAAGAAATCCACGCCTTGAAAAAAATATTTAAAAAATCCACGCCTTAAAAAAATAAAAAGAAATCCACGCCTTGAAAAAAATATTAAAAAAATCCACGCCTTGAAAAAAAATATTTAAGAAATCCACGCCTTGAAAAAAAATATTTAAGAAATCCACGCCTTGAAGAAAATAATTAAAAAATCCACGCCTTGAAAAAAAATATTTAAGAAATCCACGCCTTGAAGAAAATATTTAAAAAATCCACGCCTTGAAAAAAATATTTAAGAAAATCCACGCCTTGAAAAAAATATTTAAGAAAATCCACGCCTTGAAAAAAATATTTAAAAAATCCACGCCTTGAAAAAATTTTTAAAAAATCCACGTCTTGAAAAAAAATATTTACAAAAAAATCCACGCCTTGAAAAAAATATTTAAAAAATCCACGCCTTGAAAAAAATATTTAAAAAATCCACGACTTAAAAAAAATATTTAAAAAATCCACGCCTTGAAAAAAATATTTTAAAAAATCCACCACTCGATTTTGAGTCTTGTAGAAAAAATATTTTAAAAAATCCACGCCACGGTAGATTTTGTTCAGACTCTCCTACTTGTTATAGAATAATTTGACAAAAATCAGTTCTACATTTTTTTTTTATCAATTTGACTGGGGAATTTAAAAGAAATAACTTCACTTTTTTCCATGTATCGCACGGTCTATCAAAAGGGTTGTTTTTCGGTGTTATATAGTGTGGGAGGTAGCCCATTGGATAACTGGTCAATTCATGTAAGTAGAGGTTCAAAATTTCAAACCAATTTTTTTTTAATTTTATTATGTCCATTCAGACCCAAAATGGTTATGTGAAACGTGTCTTGGACGATGATATCAAATCCATGGTTATTGAAATAATGGGTACCAATGTTTCCACCATGTATATCAGTTCACCACGAGATCCCAGGAAAGAATTGGGAATTAAGTTACCATTTCTGGTTTTGCTAATTAAAAATATGCATAAATGTTTTTCGTTTGAAGTGAAGGTGAGGAGACTCTCAAAATTAAATATATGGAACCCCAATGTTATTCCCATATTGTATATCCTCAGATAATTGATGATCAGCGCTTTTTACGCCGCTTTCGGGTGTCAAATTTCCAAAGCAAGACATCGGTGAAACCATTTTGCACCTCAATGCCAATGGGCATGTCTGCGGGTTGGAATCAAATTCACTTTAATTTAGCCGATTTTACACGTCGGGCCTATGGCACAAATTATATGGAAACTGTACGTTTACAAATACATGCCAATGTTAGAATACGTCGTATCTATTTCACCGATCGTCTGTATCAAGAAAATGAACTACCCAATGAATATCAATTGATACAAAAGCCAAAAACGAAAAAGTCATTAATATGGAAAATACCAGCAGCCAGGCCACCTTCGCCCCTATCAAATCGAATGCAGGCAACAGATGAGCCGCCACAAGTTTCCAAAACAACTGACGAAACTAGGAGCATTGGCGGCATGACCGCTACAATAGATGATGGTTTGCTTGATTTGCCACAAACAACAACAGCTTCTGAAAAGGGTGATTAGTAGTCTGTTTACCGAAAATACCACGATTTATATTTGGTATATTTTCTAATTTTATTTTTTTATTAAAATTATTATATTTTTTGTATTTAAATAAAATTAAAATTCTAGTACACAAACAAAAAGAACATAATTTTTTGTTATCCCTCAACTTTTGCTATCAAAAGTTTACATTTACTATAAGATTTAAAAGAAAGAAAAACTGAAATGCTCTGTTCGCCTTTATTTTAGAAAGTTTCCCCTTTATCATAAAAGAAGAGTGGCCATAAAACAAGAAGAAATGAATTTCAGTTCCAAAGCCACATTCTTATGACATGAAAAACTCCCAAAAATAAATGTGAGGAAAAAAATTCCCATTGTCTCCTCTTAGTGTCTAATGCTATTTTCTTGAGCCACCGCATCACTGGGTGCGGTTAACTGCAACAGTTCACTGTCGACATTTTTCAATGCATTTTGATATTCGGTGATTTCCAATGCTTCCCATTCAGCCTTGAATGCTACCTTAGGATCTTGGGGCATTGTCATGGCAGCACCGGTCATAGCATCAGCCTGAGCCTGGGTCTGATCAGCCTGATTGTTTTCACCCAACACCAAGGTGTAAATTGATCTCAAACCAAAAACGTTTAAGAAATACCAGGAGGCCGAAGAAACCCAAGCGGCATCCAAGGAGGCCAATTCAATACCACGCTGCAACATAGGTTTGAAACGCAACGTCAATGGGAAAGGCACTTTTGTTGTAACAAAACCGCTAAACATCCAATTGATCCAGCCACCAATGATCACCATGGGTAACATATTAACGAAATTACCCTTCAACATATCGGTTATCATCGCTGTGGAATTTTGTTGTACAGGTGCTCGCTTTTGGGTCTTAAAATAGCCAGTCTCCTCGTTGTTGAAGAAATTTTTACGCATAGCAAACGATTGGGCTGTCAAATATTTACCATTTTCACGCAACAGACGTGCCCTAATCATGGCTTGACTGTAATGGGAAAAATTTATGGAATTCAGGTCACAAGGTCCAATTTATTGTGTTTCGTATAATTTATAATTTACCTGTCTTGTATCTGTGTGATTTCAGCCTTTTTCTGTGAGGCTATCAAAATCGTAACATAATGCCGTAAAATACCAATGAAAAACGCAATCAGGACAATGGGAAGAAATACCCAAACACGAATATTGGGATCGATAAGTAATTCTGTCATATTTATTTATTAAAATTCGTCAAAAATATACAGAATTTTCCTATACAATATTTTTCCGCGAGCAGAGCAAATAAGAGTCACTAATTAATGTCAAAAATGTGACGTTTGCCCCTGTCAATCACAATAGCAAACGTCAATTATGGTGGTGTGTAGGGTTGCCAATGATTTTATTTGTTGTTGGGAACATATGAACAAAATGAATCCCTAATGGTACATTTACATCAGGGAAATTATGATTTTTTGACAATTTTTATCATTTCTTAAGTACGGGAGCTAATTTTATATTTAATTTGCGATTTTTATTACTAAACGAAACAAAAACACAACAACAAGGCTACCGATTAGTGATGCTAGGCTATCAAATTATTAAGTATTAATAACAAAAGGATATCATCTCACTTTGCATGCCAAAGAGAAGTCAGGGGAGAAGAAGAAGCGCGAATAATATATCTTATTTGCAAACGGGATATGTGTGTTAAAAATAACATTTACTGCAAGAATCTACTAGATTTTACTATTTTCTTCAATAACATAAAGGAAAATTCGTTATCGTAGTAAAAAGTTGTAGATTCTTCCAGTACGGGAAAAGACAAATAATGTGTGGAATTAATAATACATTACTATTAAAAATACATTACTTCATTATTATTAAGGAAAATAATCTTTTTGGTGAAGTGAAGGCAGATTCAACCAAATTTAACCATTTAACCATTAACAGTGACTTAAGTTGTATACTATTTCCATGGTATAATTACAGAGGCAGTCTCATTTGAGAAATTTATGGTGGTGGTGAAGATTATTATTTGAAAGAAAAAAAACTGCAATAAATATAATGAGAATTTAAAAATTATTTTTTTTTAATATAAGTAGCCACATATACGTTTAAATATTTTAAAATGGAACCAACTAAAATAACACATAATAGAAGAGATGTAAATTGAGGAAGCATTTCCTTTTCCAATTGGATTTTTGTTCATAATTTTTAACTCATTGCATCATAGATCTGCTGTGCTATGTACTTTATTATTCCCGTATATTAAAAATATCGTTATACCTCCTATAATAAAAATAAATTGATTGAATTGATTTAATATGTAAAAATATTTAAAATTAACAATAATAAAAATAAATAAGTATTCGATTCTTAAACTTATGTTTTTGACTGGAAAAATAATACGGAAATGGAATGAAACGTTAAATTTATAACGAATAATAAACAAGTACTCGACACTCTACCCATCCATTCTTGTACATCACACACATTCGATAGTTTATTGTATCGATTGTTTGTAATTCAGTTATCGTAGGTCTTTGTCGCGGTCGCTTTCATCGTGTCTCGGTTTTTAACAAATTGTATAATTTTTACTGTGTTTTAAATAATAAAAGCTTTTGCAAAGTGCTTATTAATGTGTTGGGAACAAAAGATATATCCAATTTAATGTGAATGTAGTTGAAAACATTAAAAAATTTTCATTAAAAGTTTTATTTCACGTATAACGGTTTCCAATTGTCAGTGTTGACCTATTGTTTTCTTGTCGCAGGCGGACTTTAATCAAACGGCGTTTATATGTGTATGACAAACTTTGTTGCATGTAAAAAAGCGCGCCAACGGATTTGCTATCGATTGTTTGCAAATTCAGTTATCGGTGTTCAATGCGTGGTGGCGTTTGTAGTGTCTCGGTTTTTTAAAAACTTCTTTAAATTGTACTGTGTCACTAATGTGAAACAAAAATTCAAATTTAAAAAAATATTTAAAATAAAACAACTAATTTAAAATTATAATTTTTATTCATTGTGGAAGATGTTAAAAATAAAAAAAGTTATTTTTAACTAATGTGTAAAAACATTTGTTTCATGCATTCCTCTTTCAAGAATAAACAACAAAAATTAATATTAAAAAATTATCATAAAAAATATTAAAAATTTGCAAATCATAGATGTAACAGAAAATGTGATAAAGGCAGTGAATAGTTTAAAAAATTTAAAATTACTTATCTCAAATTGTTATTAAATAAAATACAATAATTTAATCAAAAATGCATACATTCCTTAATTTCAAAGCAACAAGTAATCGTTACCAAACTCCCATTGACGTACATCACTATCATCGATAAATGATTGGTATCAACAGCCTCTCAACTACATCTGTTATCGTTCTTCTTCGTTTCGGTCGTGTCGGTTGTGCGCTTATGTTTTAATACGATTTTTAAAGTTTTATTATATTCTAAAAAATATAAACTGTGAAAAAGTGTTAACAATAATCTGTGCTACATTATACAAATAAATTTCAATATAAAATATAACTTAAAACTATAGAAAAACTAACATAAAAAAATATTTGCTCTCGACTAACGGTTTTGTTTGATTTCATTGTTGGCTTTTTTTCTTACGGCAGACATTTTTGATCAAACAAGACTTTTTGGTGTGCAAGTTCTACTGTCTTGATTGTGAAAAAAAGGCGGGAACAGAAACTTGCAAATTCAGTGCTTCCCAAGGAAATGCACAGATTTGGTTAAATTACTTTATCTGATTTATAAGAGTATACGAGGAATACAAAATAATGTTCCAAAGTGAATAACAACAACTGTATTCACCAAGGTGTATCAAATAATAGAAAATTATAAAATTATATGTTAAAATTATTGGAAAAGCAAATTTAAAGAATTATGAATGGAAAAATATAATTTAATGTGTGTGTTAATTTTTTAAAAAATTTGGTTACAATAAAAAAAACAAAATAATATATAACTTGGAATATTTTCTCTTTTCCGTATGAGTTTCGCGTTCGGGGTTTTAATAATTTGCTTAAATCAACATTGCAAAAAGTGTCGTAGTTTTCAATATTCGTTAAAAGTTGTTTACTCGCGTTCGTTTAAAAAAATTCATAATACTAGGTTACGTGTGTGTTCCGGTGTTGTAGTCAGGGCTGCCAGATTTTTTTTTTGGAAAATCGTCAAAATGACGATTTTTTGAGCAAAAATCGTCAAACCCATTTTATAAAATCGTCAAAAAATCGTCAAAAATTGAAATTTTTCTAAATTAACATTTAGATATATTTAAATATATTTTTATTATTAAAAGGAACATAAAATAGGTATTCAATTTATTAAACACGTTTGTACTTAAAGCTAATCAAGAAATTAATTTATTTTATAAATAAATATTTGAATAGGCATTTCGACTTTTATAAAGTCATTCATTTTGTAAATAAATATTTGAGTTAATCATTTTCAACATGTCGGTTTTAATTAATGTATCATAACAATTTGTTTTGTTAATTTTCAAATAATCTTTGGTATAAAGTATACCCTCCATTGAATCCTTATTGAGGGAATTTCGACTTTTCGTTTTATTAAGGTTTACTTGACTGAAAACACGCTCAACATTTGCTGATGAATGGGGTAATACCATTATCTTCCGAACAAATTTAGTTATTATAGGAAAAACATATGAACCATCGCCACGTTTCAAATCAAATATTGCATTCCAAAAGCGAAATAAATCCGTTTCATTATTTTCACAAATGTTATTAAAATCAAACAACCTTAGTTCGCGAAATTCCGAATCCAATTTTTGTTTTTCATCTTCGTTTACAAAATGTGGAAATTCTTTAAGGATATCGAAAAATGAATTATTTTTTTCATTTCTAATATACGTGGGACTTATCATAGATAAACTTTTAAAAATGCTTTCAAAATCGAATCTTTTTAAAATTTGTGTACAAAGTTCAATATAAAAATTTATACAGTTATTATATATTTTACTCGTTTCACTTGAATTAAGTTTTGTTTTTGTTAACAATTCCTTTGCATGTATGCCCAAATATATTTGATCATTGTCTAAGAAATTGTTTCTATTATTAAAATCAACTAAATATATCTGATCAGTCTTTAAAAAGTCATGTTTTACAAAATTGAAACATTTTGTTTATATTATTAATAATTGCTAGAATATATTTTAAAAATGACACGTAAATTTCATTAGTATCATTTAAGTTTTCAAATATAATATTAGCAGTATCAATTTTGTCGACATTGGCCGCAAATGAAAAGTAAATTTTTAAGGGTTCATAAAGTTCCAAAATCCGGACAACAACTGATTCTAAAGACAACCACCTTGTTTGACCTGGATGCAACATTTTTTTTGGACGAATGTCCAACAGTTTTTGGATTTCTTTATATAGGTTGGATCTTTTAGGACTGTTGGAAATGTAATTAAAAATATTCCTTGCCAATGTCTCAACTGCTGAAGGTAGTTGCAGACATGCATATGAAGAGCATAAAGCTAAAGAATGACATATACATTTAATTACAATCAAATGAGGATGGATGATAAACGTTGGTCATGTGGTCAGCAACTAGAAATGGAAGGTTGTGTTCCACAATAAAGAGGCACAATCGTATTTCTGCCTTCTTGATACCAACGTTTTGATTGGGAACAAACACTTCATCTATTTTTTTCTGATTTGGTGTAATAGAACTGGCCGCAGCTTGATGTTTTTTTGTGTGCGAATGAGCTAAAAGGTCAGCTATTCCGGATGAAACTTTAAGGTCACAATTACAGAATCCACAGAAAATATGGTTGGTTTTTTTCTGCGCCCAGTTTTTAATGTCTGGATGTTCCATCCAATCATTCTTTAACTTGCGCCTTTTTCTGCAATCCTAAAGTAAATATTGGAATTTGAATGCTTTGTTTTCATAAATGCATTTATTAAATTTTACCAATGTCGAACTATTCGAGTTTCTTGCTGAAATGTTTTATAAAACCATATAATATTTCTCCTGATATCTGCCAAAGCCGACACTTACCACCGTCTCTGTTTAAAAATTTGTCCATAATTCCTTTAAAACCAGCAAATATTAAGAACTTGTAAAAACTTTGTATAAATTGAAATAAATTTAATATATCAACTTTTCCGTTCACCAATTTTATTTCATTTGCCCGTGTCAAAAACAAAAACCGTTAACATTCGTTTGTTTTGCTGCTGTCTATCCAGAGAACGGCACAGCTGATTGGTATTTTCATCCAAACATAAACTGTTGTTGGCTTTGTAACAATAAAAAGTATACCTCACACGCAAACACACATATGCCAAATATTCATCTTCTTTTTACTTTTTCTTTCGCTTTATACATTTTTGTTGTTGCCATAACAAAAAGAACCCAAATATTGCCATATTAGTAAAATCACCAAAAATCGTCATTTTCTGGGCAAAAATCGTCAAATCGTCATTTTTCAATTTTTGACTAAAAAATCGTCAAAATGACGATAAATCGTCAAATCTGGCAGCCCTGGTTGTAGTTTTCAATAAACGGTAATTGTCGGGGTCGTCGCGTTCGTTAAAACAAATTCAAAGTTCTTGCTTTTTCTTAATTTATTAAAACAAGTGAGTCGTGGTTCAAAGATATTAGTGCGTACATATTTTGGCATCTCGTTCCTATGGATGAATATCGGAATCGCATCAAAGGTTAGTAATTTTTCGATTTTTTCCAAATGTCAATACCTATTAAAGTTTTGTATTTATCACAGCGAATTTTTGTTTTAATTTTTCATGTAAAAACTGTATTTTCGTATAAAAAATGTATTTACCAATTAAATCCACAGCAAGCCTAGTTTAAGGTCCAGTCGGGGTTCGGTTTGAAATCCAAGATCCGTTAAGAACCTTGTAGTTTGCAACGGGAAAATACAAGTGCCACTGCGGGACTTTGGATGCCTATATCTCGTTGGATATATATTTCAAATGATCAGAGATCAAGCCTTAAACTAGACATAATCTTTGTTTTTGTCGGCTTATTGAATTCTTTCACGAAATAACTTTTAGGTCTGTTTGGTTTTAAATTCTAAATGGTTTTTAAATACATTTCTATTGATATGTACATTTTTGTATATAATGATGGTCTCATAATTGTTACCCCTGCAGATGGTCTCATAATTGTTACCCCTGAAGAAACGTTTATCATTAAGTTTTATCATTCCTCGTCATTCTTAGTAATTGCCAATTACACAAACGTTATTTTACCGTATTTCGCATAAAGGCTTGTGTTTTAAGGCTTCTGAAGTGTAGTGAGCAGAAGAACACAAGCCGATCAATTATCGACAACTTTGAGTCTTTGTTGACGATGTCATTTTTGTGCATGCACATATTACGGAATTCTATCAGAATATTAATATTATAAATATTAACATTTATAAAGTTTGGATCAAACTGAATACTCAATACACTTTATAGGATATTCAAAATTTTGACAGAGTGGTATTTTCGGACATGATTAAAAATTGGTATAGACCTATATAAAAATAACTTCTGGTATTTTTTTTATTTAAGAATCATATTCCGAGTAGGCTGACATTTTGTTTTCGGATTTTTTGTCGAAAAGAAAAGGACATTTTCATTTACATTTTCGCTTATTGACGTTTTTATTCTTAACTTGCCTCTGTTATGCCAGAAGCTTTCTATTTAACTATTTTCTCCAAACACATTTTGTCAAGTCTTCACGGTTTATATGGCTTTGTAGAAGAGGTTGTAGTTTGGCATTCCCTATTACTGCTGAACAAAAAATGGTTGTGCTCATTTAGGCGAATGGTTAGAGGGGTGGATGATACCACCACATGTCCAAATTAGAGGGACATACACATAAGCCAATTGAGGCCACCGGAGAAACATGTCCTATGAATCTGGGAATTACGTGTTTTTTTTTAACTCCTTCAGTCTTTTCCATTCACACCCCCTCAGATCGGTTAGTCCGTGAAGAGTGTCAATGAGTGGAAATGTTCCAGCGTTTCACTGTCTTCCTTCCCCACACGCTATGCAAATGCTGCTACCTTTGCATCCAATCTTGAGTAGATTTGCCTTTAGGCTGAGGTGTCCCGTCAGAATACCCGTCAGTCGGCTCTTTTCTTTTTTATTTAGCGTTAGGATTTGCTTAGTTTTGTATTCACTTGGGTCACCCCATAAGATTTTGGTGATTTTTCCTGTTCCCTCATTTTCCCAAAGGGTTTTGTGGGTCTCATTCGCCCATTTCCTCATTTCTTGGTGTGTTTCGCTAAAGGTTTTGGCGGTATTCGCATCTATTTTGGGTAGTGCTGTAGCACTCCTGGCTAGTTGATTTGCTATCTCTTTGCCTATGATTCCTTCCCGGTACTCATATAATTCGCACAGGTCCTTGTTGTGAGAAATCATTAATGTTATTTATACATTCCAGTACAGTTTTGGATTTTACTGTTTCGGAAGATATTGCCTTTATAGCTTGTTGGTGGACTTGCGCACAAGATTACGCGCTTTAAGTTTTAAGCTCGGCTTATGGAACAACCGTTCTGTAACAAGCCAGCTAAGTAAGTAAGATATTGCCTTTATAGCTTGTTTGCTATACGTAGTATTACTTATTGTTTTTTGTCCTTGGTTTGAACTTATCCAGATAAGACACTCTGTTATGGCTTGAACCTCCGCCTGTAAGATCGTGCAGTGATATGTAAGAGCCACCAGGTAGCATCTTTATCTAGATCCATCTTTATTTTGAAAGATGGGCTCTTCATATCGACCTATTTTTGTCTTTCTAGTAAAAAGACATATCTCCGTTTTGCCCGGTTTTAGCCATATCGTATGCGATTTTTAGCACCATTTCGGCTTTCCTGCATAGTAAGTTAGGAGTCTTTGCCCAAAGAAGTATTATAAAGTCATTTGCATAACAGAATGGTTCAAATTCTTCATCGGTTAAGTTCCTTAAGAGTCCATTTATGGTAGTTACCCACAAGAGCGGTGACAAAATCCCTGTGGTGTTCCCTTGCCTATTTTTTCATGTATGCTATAGCTAATCCATCTATTCCTTAGCATATAGTTAACCCAGCCTATGATACGGGAATAGTTTGGGAACAAATGCACCTCTCAGACCCTTTTGAAATTTTTTACCATAAGTAGGCCTTCTTATGCCGAATATAACAACATAAAGAGATTGTAGTTTGGCATTCATTATTACTATTGAAAAAACTATTTCCTATAAATGCTCAATAAAGAACCAAGTATTATCAACGGACATGTTTATATCCAAATTTTCCAACCTCAGTTTCAATAATCTCAGAGGATAAAATCATAGTGGCAGAATTTTACAGTGGTATAGTCTACAAGTTTCTTATTAATTTTGATAAAATAACAAATCATAACGTAAAGCTGTATTTATCCTTGTCAACAAAATTCCCCTGTCTAAATAGTGGCTAATCGTAAATAATTCACAATAACAAAATGTGCCAGATGTCGTCTGCAAATAATCGAATAGTATTCCGATAATTCAAATTGTTCGATTGCCGATTTTTTAAAACAATAATTATATATTTTTTTGATTATTTTGGAAAAAGCTAACCTGAAGGAAAACATTGAAATACAATATAATTAACGAAGTAAATAGAAATTTTACAAAATAAAAAGTATTTCTAATAATTAATATATAGCTACATTAATTTAGTAAAACAAAAACGGCATCAAAACACGATTATGGACAAGGAAGCTGGTCAAAACAATCAAAATGCTGCTGCACCGCCTGCCGAACCACAATTAACTGGAAATAGTAATGCGAATAACCAAACAAATGCCAATAATACGAATACCGGCAATAATGCACAACAAAAGAAACCCAGGGCCGATTTAAATTCCTTACCCACGCGACAATATTTGGATCAAACTGTGGCACCCATTTTACTGCACGGTCTACAGACATTGGCACGCGAACGGCCACCAGATCCAATTAGTTTCCTTGCCTCATATCTACTGAAGAATAAAAATCGCTGTGAAGAAGCTATACCGGAAAATGTATAAAAATCAGATCGTCAGATTGCAACTAGTCTAAAAAAAAGAAGCAGCACCTGCAGAACTGAAGAACACAACACATACCTAAAATTGAATGTAATTTCTGTTTGAATAGATCTAAGATATTTTTCTCTATTTTTGTGAATGGTGGTCGTTACCATTGTTTGGGAAGAATAAGATAATAACAAATTGCCGTACCGACAAATCAGTAACACAAATGAATAGGGAGGATGCAGATGTTTATATGTTGGAACAAATTAAACAACCACATCTTCATTCCCTCTTAGACTATATATACATACCTTTATGTTTGTTTAGTAGTAAAAAACACAAAAGACCTATGAATATAAAACTTATAATAAAAATACAAATAATGTAGAAACACTAAGAAGCGTATTATAACTCTGCTATCAACTGACTTTCTTTAGGACACGTGCCCGTGTAATTTCAAATTGAAATTGGAAGCATTAAAATATGTTTTCTTCAATGTTATCTTTTTTTATTAATTTCTCATTTTACACAACTTTAAATTATTCAAGTCTTATTCATCGGCCTCAACTTCACTAACTCCGAACATGCCAGCCATTAAGCAACCATAATTCAAAGCATTTGCAGCTGTTATTTCCGTTGGCGTTGGTATGGGACCATCATCACCTTCATAGATATACGGAAGACGTAACATCCAATATGCGCTTTGTGTCAATTTCGGTTCACAACCCAATACAAAAACATAATCTCCATCACCGGTGCGTACTTTTGGATCTAATGAAACATTGACGGGAGCTTTTGGCGTTACAACATGAATACGCATCAGCTGGGCAACATCGAATTTTTTCGTTCGACAGGGGCATGGGAAGTAGAGGGGCATATTGTTGTAGACAACCTTGCTGCCACTGTCACGAAGAATTCCTAAAAAGAATGAAGAAAAACAATAAAGAATGGTATTAAATTCGGTAGGGCCGACCATTGTAAAAAAATTATAAATTTTCTGCCTGGAGATTTTTTGTACTCTGAGAAAACGAAGTACAAAAGTAATAATGGAATATTCGGTAAAGAACTTCAACATACCGGAGACCTGTAGAGTGAAACGAGGAGTTCCCCAAAGTGGGCTATATCCTAGGAAGTAATATTCGACAACATTTTCAAGTCGCTGTCAGGCGGCACACACTTTGGTGCAGACAAGGAGACCTTGTTAACAAACTATTAAGCAATATACTGGTCAGTGGATAGCTATGCAGTTCCAGTGTGGATTGAGAATGCATGTGAAGTGTTGCCGATGCATTACCTGCTTGGGTTTTATCTTCGGGAACGCCGCCCGTCATAGGCAGACTTCTTTCGAACAAGGTCGTCAGGATTTTCATGATGAGGGAGGTTGTGTCTTATCATCCTTCAGGGAGGCCTTTTACGGGCTCTCCGTCGGACTGACTTCGACAGTCCCTTACCCTCCGTCTTCGTGGATGCTGGTGTCTGAGATGTCTCAGTACTCAGTTTACACTTGGGAGGTACTGAGGGCTTAGACGTCGCAGCCACTACCGTGTTTGTCACCGTAGTGCTAATCACAGTAGTTTCGTCGAGAGTAACAGGACTAGAGGCAAAAGAGAGATCCTGAGGATATGTCTTTGATGTCTGACCTTGAAGAGTTCGAGTCTGAGGGTGCGAAGGCTCCAGCATCAGAAGATCTCTCGATGGCCGACTTTATAAACAGGGAACTTTTCAATTCATAGACAGGTCCCCTATCTACACACAATACCTTTCCCGGAGAATATTTAAAATTACAATTAAAGGTACTCACCTGATCCACCTCTCAGAATCTTATCCGGTGCCGACATCATAAAACGATGACCCCTCGGACATTCGTACTCAAAGCCAACGAATATTTTCAATACAAAAACTTCACCCATTTTACGATAGCGGGTCTTTTCATATGCCCATTGGGCTGAATGTTCCAAACGCACTTGAACATCCCAGGGTAAAAGGAAATTTGAACCTGACAAAAAACCCGATTGGAAATGTTCTTGCAAACCATGATTGTGACTATAAACAGAACTAGCGCCAACACAACACAATGACCAGCTGGGAAATTGTGGTAATAATCCCACAGGACTTTGGGTATGCATCATACCGGGTAAATATTCTGTTGTAGATGGCTGGCGATAAATTGTACGCTCTGTGGTTTCCTCTTCATTTAGGGCATCCGTTTCTTTTACCTTGAGAATTAGTTCATTCAAGGATTCATCTGAACTATTCTCCTCATCACCATCATCATCTTCATTATCTTGATCTTTATCGATTTTATTCATTTTATCAATCGACGTGGAGAGGCTTAGATTGGTAAGAGTCCTCTGTGATGCCGCCAAAGGTTGTGAATTATTTATGGGAAATTGTTCTTCTTCATCATCTGAATAGGCGTGGTGCATTGAATGTTCATCTTGTAGATCTTGATTTTTACGCATGGGTAATTTAGGAAATCCCCGCTCAAATTCTGCCGCCCGATAATCATTTATCGAAGGTTCAAAGACGGCAAAATTGATTCGCTTCACTTTGGCACATAGATTACAATTACTCGCCATATATTCATAAAATTCATAGTTCGCATGTCGCGTACTATAGGGATCTTCACGCCGTCCCTGCAGTTTACCACAATTACAAGCTGATATAAATATTAAGCCACTGGAATGCTCCGTAGGATCTTTGGCAATATGTTTTGGTCTAGCACATGGATTACCTCTCAAACTGGGATATTCACATTGCTCCTTGCCATTTCGCCAACACGCCTCACACATTTCACGAAGTTTAAGCTCATTTGTTGTCTTGTCATTGCCACGAGCGTATTTCATATACAAAGCCACAGCTTCTTCGACCTGGAGATTGGAGAGAAGAGCAAAAATAAATTAGAAAATCTTAAAGAAACTCCGATTTTTTTACAGAAGGGTGCCAAGTTATTCTTCTGACTTTCTCATATGTCTCATTTCACCCCAAATTTTCATGAGGTATTCCCAATCTTCTATCCGTTTTTTGGAACTTACCAATTTCTTGTGTACAGCTGCACTGTAATATGTCAAAGTAGGATTGTTATACATTGCGAAGGCTTTTTGAAGTCCAATATCACAGCAGGCTTTAAAAAATCTATAAAATGATTGAAATTATTTTTTTGGAATTACGGGAAATATGAAAATTAAAGTCTAGTTCAGGTACTCAACCCGAATCTAATTGTCGGTGAAAGGAGGTTACAAAACATTTCTACATTACCGATATCAGATCATACACATTGAAGTTAGGAACATGCCTAGGTTAATGTCAGGACACAAATAATTTTGAAACATATATTTAATTTTTTTCGAAGAAGTTCTGTCTCTAAAATTGGAAAATCTGCCTCTAAAGTTTTCTTCATATAGAAGACCTCTCAAATGTCTTCGGTCTATAGAATACCACTCGAAAGACTCATATCTACAATAGAAGATATGTAGAATGAATTCTTCTCAAAGGTTATCTTCAATAGAAAACCCTATGCCTACTGAAAACCCCTAGAATGTTATATGTATGTCTGTAGAAGACCACTCGAAGATCTTGAGAAATCTGACCATAAAGGCCTCTAGAAAATTTTCTTATGTAGAAGACCTCTTGAATGCCTTCTGTCCACTCCAATAAATTATGTCTATAGTCCTATCTACGGTATTCTGTCTATTGACGTCTTCTCAAAGGTTTTCTTCAATAAAATACCCCCACTCTATAGTACGTCTTATGTCTATAGAAGATCACTCCAAAATTTGTACAGGAAAGACCTCTCCAAAGTTGTCTTTATACATCAGACCTCACGAATGTCTTCTGCCTCATAGAAAACCACTCCACACTGGTGGAGCATAGCTTACCACTGACCAACCTATTTGCTTTATAATAAGTCAAGGTCTCTTTGTGGGCCACTCATGTTATTACATATAACACTGACTTCCGACTTGAGAGGGGTGTCGAACATTAAACTCAACATCTTGAGCTCATTAGTGACCGGAATCTTCGAATTGATTTAGTGGCAACGATTTTTTATATACCTCAGATGAAAGAAACTCAGGAAATCAGTATTGTAGACCTACATGGAACCGGATACCTTGATCTTATAATCATTCGCATCCATTAGGATCTATATGCCGTCTGTTGATTGCGGAATGTCGTTAAAGTTGAGGTTTAGCAGTTGCGGAAAAATTACACCTCCTTGAAAGAACTGCCTATTTCACAATGGAAGTCTTCGAATTTCTGTTTCAGAATTCCACATACGACCATTGTCCATATAATAGATTATCTGACAATTCGATCATGGCTAGTGACTGGTATTTTCTATATTCTCACCCAATGGTTGTGCGGCGAAGATCGTTACGTTCATTGGCTAATACTGTCGCCTCTAATGGGAAGTTTGGTCTTACTGCGGGTATTCCTACAGCAGATATATAGCGTGTGCCAGCAGTAGTGACAATTTTCCGAAAATTCCATTTAAGGATTTTAAGGGATGGGCAGCTGCCTAAAGCGGTGATTGGAAAACTCTCAGAAAATGGTATGGGTCAAGAACCTAAACTAGACTTCGACCTCGTCTACTTACTCGCTATCATAATTTAAGATTTTATCAAAGTTTTCCAAATACGATTTCTGAAATTAAAATAAGTGAAAAAAATATTTTCAAAGAAAAAAATTATGAGTGCTTACATAATCCGGATCATTGGCCTCAAAATCGACATTATCGGGATTTTCAACGAATAATTTATGTAACATTTTAAATATTTCATACCATGATTTGAAGTTCAGAAGCTGAAATAACATACAATTACTAAATTAAAAACATACAAAAACACAAAAAATTTCCTCAGGACACATACCACAAAATGATGTTTACCCTTGAATTTGGTGAGATTATCATTGAACCCCGTTTTGAAAGCCTGTTCCACATGATCCTTGAGTAAATCGAAAAATTTGCGATTTTTCACATATAAATCCTCGGAGGATTCGGATTTTGTGGGAACATTGGGAAATGATAGAGGTTTTCCAAAGCCCTAAAATCAAACACACAATTATGAAGAAATTTATTTATATATCTTCGGATCTCAACGTACCTTATAGGGCAGTAAATCCTCCTCCTCATCATCATCTTGGGTAAAAGTTGGTTTGTGCAACAAATCTTGTAATAAATTTACAGATTTTAACAAAGGATCTTCACGTAGCTTTTCATTTAAATTGTAATAGACAAAACGCAGATTGACCGGTATTGAAAATAGAGAATTATTGCTGTTATTCACCACAATAAATTCATTGCGTAGCATTTTGTAAATATTATCTTCAACATCGAATTCAAATTTAGAAATTGCATCTTTGGTTTTTTCTACAAAACAAAAAATTAAATAAATACAGAAGTAAACTACTGACCGGAGCAGCGTTTAGTCGGACAGGACCGACCATATGATACCCTACACAACAATTAAATATTCTTTAAAAAATCTACGCTTTGTGGAGGCCCCGAAAAAATCTTTTAAAAATCTATGCCATATTGGTCCAGAAAAAACTATTTTTTTAAAAATCTACGTCATAATGGACCTCCGAAAAATTATTATTTAAAAAATCTACTTCTTAATGGCGATATTTCGTAGCATTTCTAACTTTTGGGGCCACCTAAACTCATAACCCCCTTAGAACATAGTTGTGTAGGGTATAAAAACTTCAAACTATCTCTCATTATACCCACCATGACCATCGGGTAAATTTTCAAATAAAAATATAACACGCGGTGAACACAGGCGTGACGGTTTACCCAAAATAAATCCAGTATTGGAATTCTTTAGCAGCTTTGGAAAAAATTTCAAGACATGACGGTCCCTGTAAAACAACACAAAATTAAGTCATGATTTATGATTTCCCAATTCCTTCCCTACCTTATTATCTTGAGTGCCTTGAAGACACCCAGCAGTGAGGCATCAAAGGTAACACTCAGCTCCACGAAAACAATTAAATGACAAACCTGTGTGGCAAACAGGAACATGCGGGCAAAGCGGCTACGCACCTTCTGATTGAATGTTAAGAAATCTTCAAATTTTTGATTTTCCAAATCTTCTAATAGCATTTTTTGCATACATGCTGAATCGTAGGATGTCTCAAAATGCAAATACAAAATTGATTCCAGTGAATTGTAATAAAATTGAATTTGACCCTATGAAAAGAAAAACACGATTAATTTCTAGATAACAAATAAAGAACAATAATACCCTCTACATTACCTCCTGGGGTTCATGTTTCAAAATACTTGGATGGCAACCCAGTACATCTAATGCAGCCATTTTATTGCAATCCGGAAATGCAGATTTACCAATAACTCCAACAACCACTATCTTTTTGTCATCTTGGAAGAGTATCTTACTAAGGAAATATGAGAGATATAAAAATATTGCTGTCCTTTTTTTTAAATGAAAATATATTTACTTAAATTCTTCCGGTATATCCGGATATGACCAATGTAAATGTTCCGGCATATTTGGTTGATGTGAGCTCCTTTGTTTTGTACCGGAACGTTGTATTTCAAGTAACCTGAAGAAGTGACCGCTTTTTAAATGTGAAGTCAACTCCTCCGAGAATTGTTTACAACAGGTGATTTTGTTTACATTCATATCGATACATACAAAAGGTGGTTGCTATGAAATCACATTGCACTAAACAGACTTGAGACACAAGGCAACTAGGCCAATTCAAAGAAAAACATGGAAATAGGAAAAGAGGAAGAATTTTTAAAACGAGAAATGGAGAAAAATCGCTGGCTGAATATAATCGCCAAAATTCCCGCTAATGCAAGAGACCTTGTAAGGGTAGCCTCTTTCGCACACTAACGATCTTCTTGGTCCAAATGAATTCCTGATAAAGTTGTGGTCCTAATATAAAATTGTTGACAATAGCAAATTGGGTTTGGCATTTTTGCGATATGTGTCTGTATCTGTTATGGATCAAAATATATGGGCCTTTGAACCCTACAAAAACAGGGAAATTCTGTCGCGTAGACACATTCGTAGAACCGGATATAACCGGATACCCGAACTTCCGGGTCAAATAACTTGGTAACCGGCTACGTTCCCCAAGAAGAAATATATCCCCATAATTAGGGTAAAAATACCTACCTCTGGAAAGAATTTCAGAAAAATCTGATTGTATTTACTAATCTAGAGTTAAGCCAAAAACAGCAATACCTGTGCAAAATTTCAGAGCTCTATTTTAAATAAATATTTGCGAATTCTTCGGGTTTTCAACTGGACATCTCCAGCTGCTCATGTGATGCACATAAAAGCTGTAAATTGTGAAACTTCGCACGTTGAAATTGGTCGATATTTTAGATCCCTAAATGCCTCGTGTGCATCACACCTCATTCGTAAATATTGGTATTTCTCGGCCATTTTGTTTTGAGTTCCCTTTTTATTATGTATTTTCTACTTTCTCTTCTATTCGTGTATGGAGGAACGATTTTAATTTTAGTGAGCTGTGTGTTGTAGATTGAGCGAAAGACGACTCACGATATAGAAAAATAATTTAAAAATAAAGAAAAAGTTTAAACAAATTGTTTATCTTACAAAAAATTCAACATGGGATGTGATGGTGGAACTATACCAAGACGTGACGAATTAGTGCGCCTGAAGAAAAAACCCGAACAGGTATGTATAATTGGAAGTACCATGGAATGATGAAATTAATAATTGTTTAACATTTTGTGTTTTATTTTGCAGAAAGATAAAGATTCCGAACGTGAATTCCGCTGGCGACATTGTGCCATAACCCAGCAACGTCTACAGGAACCAATTGTGATGTGTGGCCTCGGCCGGCTGTATTCCAAACAAAATGTTATCGAACGATTACTGGAAAAAGAAACCATGCCTGATGTGGCGAAACATATTAAAAATCTCAAAGATATCAAGCAACTGAATTTGACACCCAACCCAGCATATACTGAAACGGAGAAAACCGAAGGACTCTTGGACACAAGTCATGCTCCCTATATTTGCAAATTAACCGGTCTGGAAATGTCGGGTAAATTTCGGTTTGTTGGTATGTGGTCTTGTGGTTGTGTCATGTCAGAGAGGGCACTTAAAGAAATCAAGGGCAGTTCAGCGGGAGCATGCCCCGTTTGTCAGCAACCATTTGGTGTAGAGGATGTCATCGTATTGAATGGCAATGATGATGATATGGAATTAATGCAGGCTAAAATCGAAATGCGTTTGGCCAAAAAGAAGGCCAGTAAGAAGGAGAAAAAGGAAAATAAGGAGAAGGTAACGGGTACGGAAACTGCGGCAGTTAAAGAGGAGAATAAGGATGATGTGCCATCGACCAGTAAAACAGCAAGTAGTACAAATGGCACAAATGGAGTTAAGGCGGCTACAAATGGCGTAAAATCCAAATTGGTGGCAAATCCCAAACGTCTGGGTGCCGCTTCCGAGGCAATGCAGGATCCTGAATTGAAACGTTTAAAAACGGATTATAGTGTGGCCAAAGATCCCAAGGCCAGTGATGTTTTCAAGTCATTGTTTACATCGCACAAAAGCGAAAAGGAACAAAATCGTGCCCATTGGGTTACATATAATCCGTTCTATAACTAGCATTAGCTTTAATGTAGTTTAGTTTTGATTTTTTTTTTAAATAAGTTTTTTTTTATTTTCTAAATGTGACGCAAACAGCCCGAAAAGATGTGAAGTTAGAACTTTCCACCATATAGGTGGAATGCATAATAAATTTCTCATTTCGCAGTCAATACTTCGAAATTTTCGCGTTGAAAAAAATTAATATCGATTTTGCTATGTCCGTCTGTCTTTTTTTCGAATTTTCGATAGATCTCTCTACTTTTTCTAGGATCTTTTGTATTTATAAAGAAATGGTATATCCCTTATACTTGTATTTGTAGGGGGTACAAATACATACATTTTTGGTATTTTAAAGAAAACTTCAATATAGGTCCATGTTTTAACATAGACTCCATTAAAAAAAATCATCAGCCCTTTTAAGGACTTCGACGCTCGTGGATGTTATTGATGGGCTATTAAGTATATACATACTCATGAACTGAAGCCACATGCTATCGGACGCGTTCCCAGGTTGCGGATAGTGCGAAGCCCTTTTAGTTACCAAATCCTCACCATGATCGAACTCAGGTCTTCCACTTTATCAACGCCCATGGATTCAGGATATTTAAAAACCGCAAAAAAACCAAAACAAAATCTTCGACTGACGATGGGGTGGCCGGTGACTTAGTCTCCTAGGCTTTTCTATAAAATCTAAAAGCGTAAGTTCAGGCATGTCACAAAGAACCCCAATTGCGGGAGGGACGTCCAAAAGCCCATGAGTATTAGATTTAGTTCCCAAGTCTTTTGCCAGTCGACCGCGGATCCTCCACTCACCCAACGCCCCAAAACAATAAAAACAAAATTTTCGACTTATGATGGTTTTGCTACCTTGACATGTTGTCTCCAATGCCACAAACGCTGTAAACCAACCAATAAGAACTCCTAAACGAGAGAGGGGCTACCTTACAAGGTCTCTATGGAATACCTTCCTTGTGAGCAGTGACTACCTCTGCCCGAATCTTTACCATGACACTCTACCGAAGGAATTGCGTCTGCGAAACATCGGCGACCCAAGCGGATGCTGTACCGACTAAGACCAAAACAGCTGTGAAGAAATCCTTTTTAATAAAAATAATTCAGCATTTAGTCTCGCATGTTCCGAAATGTAACCCTCATATAAAGTTTCAGCCCAAATTTTAGGTTTTGTCACGTAAAAACTGGTTCGCAACAAATGTTTAATATAGGTCCATATTTAGATGTAGCCCCCATATAAAGGTACCGGGATTATTGATGGTCCTAACTGTAATTTCCTGTAATTTTGCATTGCGGGTTCATAGTAAAAAACTGGTTCGCAACAAATTTTTAATATAGGCCCATATTTGGATATAGCCTTTATTATTTTTTATTTTGTTCTGTATCACAACAATCCCCCATCCTGGTCACTATCCTTTGCCACCAGCTCACATACCGGTTCAAATACCCAACTATAATCGTTATCATCCTCTAGCTCTTCTTCAGATTCTTCTTGTGGAACAGGTAGATCAGTATGTTTGGTATTGAGATGTTCATACATATGAAAGGTTTTAACAAAGGGATTCCTCACAACACATACAATAAAATGTTGGATAGGGAGATTTTTTAAACTGTTTTTTTTTTAATCAAAGTAATCTCTCTATTTAAAAAAAATCCGAAAAATAAGGCAAGTTTTTAGTTTTATTTCAAAATACTTTTTTTTATTTTTAAAAACTATGCTTAAATTTACAATACTTTTTTGTTTCTGTTTTATATTTTTATTTTAAAAACTTAAAATAAAATGTATACTTTTTTTTGGAAAATTAAAAAATAGCAGCCTTAATAAAAACAAAAATTAAAAATTCCATTTAAAAAAATTGGAATATTTGTGGAACATTTTGTTGTTTTTTTTTTCACAATACTGATAGAAATTAATTTGTAATTAAAAAATAAATACTTATAAAAGAAAACCTTAAAAAATATATATGTAGATGTGTTTTTTTACTCTTCCGTTTCAACTTCTTCTTCGGCCGCATAATCATCATAAAAATCAAATTTTGTATCATCAATAAATGGATAATCGGACATTTCAATATCATGATCCAAATCATCAACCTCTTGATTGAGATCCTCGTGGTGGTCGGTTTCCATTTGTTGTAGGCCATGTGTAACGGGCGATGACATGCCATTTTGTATGTTGTTATTATACATAACGGGATTTTGTAGATCAGCAACATCATCATCATCTTCATTCGGATTGTTGTGGTTATCTTCATCATCGGTGTATTCATCACCCTCATCGGTATCGGATAAATTCTGCATTGTTGTAAGGCCATTTGTTTGAAAGTAGTCATTACTCCTCTCATCACTGCCGCGACCTCCATTATTGTAGTATGTGTTTTCGTGATCTTCAGGAGGAGCTTGATTGTATTGTTGGGGTATGTCATTTTCTGGCTCACTTTCCGATGATCCATCACTATAATTTGAGGCCTCCTCCTCATCATCATCATTTCCATCATCATAGTCCTCCTCTTCCTCTGTGGGGGCCATATGATTTTCATTGAAATTTAATTGTGGCCCATTGAAATTACTCTCATAATTTAATTGATTTTCAGTATTGAGATTGTCCTGTTGTTGTTGCAGCTCCTCCTGCTCCCCATTCTGTTCATGATGCAGCAGCTGCTGCTCTTCATTATTGTATTCATTATCACTGTTGTAATTGGAGCTCATTTCATGATGATTTTGATCTTGATCCAAATTCTGACTCTCATTACCATCATCTACCTCTTCTTCTTCTACTTCAGATCCACCACTTTCTTCCCTTTGCTGATCTTGTCCTTCGGCATTTCTTAGTTCTTGTTGTTGCTGCTCCTCCTCCTCATCTTCCGATTCACTTTCCACCACCTCTTCTTCATGAGTCTGCAAAGATGTTCCATTCACATTTTCCATATTTCCCGCTGCTGGACTTGGTAATCCCTCTGAAGGTCTCATCATCATCTGCTGTTGTTGCTGCAACATCATCAAGGCCTGAATCTGTTGCATATACATTTCCTCCTGCCTTCTACGCTCCTCTTCACTTATTTCCAGATTTTCCGTTTCCCGCATATTATTCAAGAGGGCTGCATGCTTCTGTGTGACATGCAGGGCCAAGGAATTGGAATCTTTGTGCAGTTCACCACACACAATACACAATAGGGTTTCCCCCTTGGGTTCCGTTTTTATTACCACACCACCACCATTAACACCTCCTCCCGCATTTTGACCCTCCGCCATATGATTCTGGATATGCTTATTGAGGTATGCCGCTTGACTATACGACTTACCACATATGTGACAGGGGAATGGCTTCTCTCCTGAATGGATTTTCAAATGGACACTCAAACTCGATGCCTGGGTAAAGGATTTATTACAAAATTTACAAACGAAGGGCTTCTCTCCAGTATGGATTCGCATATGGATATTAAGGCTACCGGACTGGGTAAAAGAACGATCACAAATGGAACAGGTGAAGGGTTTCTCACCCATATGGCATTTCATATGCTGCACCAGTTCCGATGAAGTGGCAAAGGCCTGCCGACATATGGAGCACTGATACACCATCGATAGGCTATGCATCCGCATATGTTCCTTAAGCTGCGATTCATGTTTAAATGTCTTATCACATTCGCTGCAGCTGAGTGGTGCCTCACCGGTACTATGGGTTTTCAGGTGAATCGCCAACGAGGTGGAATTCACAAATCCCTTATCACACAAATGACACTGATGCGGTTTCTTAATGGAATGGGAGCGGACATGGACCATAAGACTACTCGACTGTGTGAAGGCCTTCGAGCACAATTCACATTTATACGGCTTCTCTCCACTGTGGATCCGTATGTGCGTATTCAAGCTACCAATATGGGTGAAGGTTTTCTCACAAATCGAACACTGGAAGGGTTTATTGCTAATGTGGCAGCGGACATGCTTCGACAAATCTCCAGCACTGGGAAAGGAGGCCTCACAGTGGCTACATTGGAAACACTTCGGCTCACCACTAATCAGGGAGGACATTTCAATGGCTGCCTGTTGGGCAGCACTTCTACGACCTCGACCCCTCTTCACGGCAGGTATCACAGGGGTAATTGTGGTATTCGCCGCAGGATTTAATAGCAGAACTGAAGCACCCGATTCCCTCTGTTCACCCACATTTATGGCCATACCATTCAAACCCCCACCACTATGGGAATTCGATGAGTACTGTGACTCAGCCTCAACCTCCTCATATGCACCCTCTTCTATTCCCTCCATGGTGGTTTGTTCCTCTTCCACATTGAATTGTTGCAACTCGGGGGCATCACGGGTCGTTTCATCCTGCGTTGGATTAGAATTTGAACTGGAATCCGAGGAGGAACTTGATGAAGACGAACTTGAAGTGGAACTTGAATCATCATCATCGTCGTCATCATCATCTGAATCCGAATCTGACGAAGACGAATCATCTTCATCCCCGTTTCCCATCACTCCTTGACCATTTTGCCTTTGTTCTGCATCGCCACCACCACCACTATCCTCTGCCACCAGTTCACACACCGGTTCAAATACCCAACTATAATCTTTACCATCCTCCAGCTCTTCTTCGGACTCTTCTTGTGGCACTGGCAGATCAGCATGTTTGGTATTCAAATGTTCATACATATGAAAGGGATTAACAAAATACTCCTCACAACACATACAATGAAATGTCAGGTCGGGGGTATTTTGTTTTATCACCGTTTTTACGGAAGCCTGTTGTCGCTGTAGCACATCTTCGGTGAGGGGTATTATTGTAAGGGGAAGACTTACATTTTTATTAATATTATTTGTTGTTGTTGCTGTGTTGATGTTGACGCTGCTGTTGTTGTTGTTGCTAATGTTATTGTTGTGATTTGTGTGCAGATGATGTGAATTAAGTTGTAAGGCCATAATGAATGTGTGATCTGTAGGGGAGTATATAAGGTGAAAAAGGATATTGTATTTAATATGAAAAACAATTTGAATATTTTAAATTGCAAATATGTATACAA